CACGTAACACACACAGGACAACACAAGAAACTATTACCTTGATTAGGGAAACCTGAAGATTAACTGTCTTTCCATTCTTGAAGAGATTCTGTAATTTTTTGCTATGCAGAATGTTATCTATATAGATCCACAGCCTTTCAACAATGTCTTCCTTCAGTTCAAGTTTTTTCTTGTAAAATGCAACTAATGACTGTCTTGCCCAATCAAGTAACACCTAAATTTGGAAGAAATAATACTCTGAAAGTAAATGAATTTATTTACCAATAAATAAAAACACTGGACATTTAGAGACTTTCCACGTACAAGAAAATCCAACTGCCAGGGAGAAAAGTCTCCTCTAAAACTCACCTTTAGTATATCACATAACTGTTTTGTTATCTTAAACTGTTTATTATTAAGAAATTAAAATAGAACAAAAATAATTTTGTCTTCATCTGAGGCCCATCGAAAGTTTCGAGTGAAACTCTGACAGTTTCTTTTAACTTCTCTATATAGTTAATACTAAATTTCAAAGGTTAGAAACACCACAGTTGCTCAGAATGACAACAAAATGAAGCAAAAATGCAGTTGAAGGACAGGAGTTTGTGTCCTGGCTTCCCATGTCACCTGTAGCTTAACCTCAAAATCTACTGACCTCATCTAGAAGACCGAGCAAGTCTTCTGTACAATGATGCACAAGCACTTCGTGCAAAGGAGTGTTTGACACAGGTATTTCCATTACTGTGACACGCTTCCTTGTTCACTAACACAAGGAAAGGTGGCGAGGCCTCCGTTCACAACACCAGAAATGTCCATCACAGTATGCACAGTGGCAGATGCCAGAAGTGTCCACCACAGTATGCGCAGTGGCAGACGCTAACAGGAGCAAACCTCTCAGGAGAAGGGGCGGGAGAGCCTGGTCAAACTGCCTGCCACGGCCATAAAAGAGAATGAAACCTTACCCTTTGCAACAGCTCGGTTGGACCTAGGTGGTATTATGCTCAGTGAAATAAGTCAGACACAGACAAATACCATATGACTTCACCCATATGCAGAAGCTAAAGAAAAAAAATAAATGAAGAAACAGACTCGTAGATACAGAGAACAAACTGATGACTGCCAGAGAGGAGAGGAGGAGGGGTTGGGGATCTGGGGCACTGGGTGAAAAAGGTGAAGGCATTAGGCAGATTGGTAGTTACAAAATAGTCACACGGATGTAAACTACAGCATAGAAAGTACAGTCGGTAATATCGTCACAACTATGGATGGTGCCAGGTGGATACTTAAAATATCAGGGGGACCGCTTTGCAAATCACGATGGTCTAACCACTGTGATGGACACCTCAAACTAATACAAAAAAGGAATACTGAATGCCCACTGTAACTGGAAAATAAAATTTAAAAATGCCTGCATAACCTCCCCTTTTGTCTCATCATGTGCAGCACCTGCCAGGTGACTGTCAGGCTGTCACGGACCTCAGGAGCAGCCAGCTTTAGAAACCACTAGATCTGCCAGTGCTCTACTTTCTGTACCTCATCCTCACTTTAACAGACGCAACCCGTGTTTGACACACCCCCTGCTACCTTCTCTAATGCTAGCAACGGTGTATGTGCCCCCCACTTCGTGAGCTCATCCAAACACACTTAGCCAAGTAAGATTGGGGAGTGTTAGTAGAGGGCAATGTCCTTCTTGGTCCCTACTCCATTTCTAGAACGGCTTAACATAAATACTAAAGCTTCTCTACTTCCCAACCTTGAACTCACCAAATTCCAACGACGTTTAACAAAGCTCCAACAAGCAGTTGCATTTGGAGCATCACTCTGGATTTACAAACAAATGGAGCTACCACACTCTCAATCTCATTTCTGTAACCCAATTCCCAATCTGTTCACTGATGTATATACTTAATTTGGATTATAAGAGATGCTTACTGAGGTTTGCAGCAGAAAAAGTTTGGTAACAAAACACCTGACGTTACTTTTTCTCAGACATTACTTTAACTTCCAGCCAAGTTTCCTTCCTCAACTGCTTTTCTAATCTTTTAAAATTTTAACTAAATGTCAACGTGCAAGCTACACAAATGACAATTATATTAGGTTGTAAAAATGCAAGTTTCACATTAAACTTACCTGTTCTTTATTTGGAAGAATGCACTGGTGGGAGATCCAAGCAAAGTGAGCTAGCTTCAGTTTATCTTCCCAGGAAGTTGTCTTGCTTTTAAGCTTATGGGAAATGCCAGAATAAACAGCGGCCATCGCTACACTTTATCTATAATATAAAACAATGGGAAAAATTATACTAAGATCAAACTCAACAGGCATCAGAAAATGAACATTATAAGCCCTGGCTGCCGTAGCTCAGTGGATTGAGCTCGGGCTGCAAACCAAAGTGTGGCAAGTTCGATTCCCAGTCAGGGTACATGCCTGGGTTACAGGCATGACCCCCAGCAACCACACATTGATGTTTCTCTCTATCTCCCTCCCTTCTCTCTCTAAAAATAAATAAAATCTTAAAAAAAGAAAAAGAACATTATATATCTTATTGTCCAATATAACAGGGTCTGGAACAAATAATGCCCCCTTTTTACTCCAAAATCTTTTATCACAAAATCAGAAGCATGCAATTCTGTAACATAACAATATCCCACTCAAGCACACCATAGGACATTTTAGGCAAAATGTTCAAATTAAAACTATAAATCATTACACCCATATTATTACCTTACCAACCACACTCAAGCAGGCCTTACTTCTGCAGGGCCCTATGCGTATATGTATAATATTCCTTTAATGAGTTAAAACACATCAACAGAATTTTGGGCATAAATCTATACATAAGTTGCTAGGGCCTAAGAAATTCAGACAAAAGCAGGCAGAAGATGGATTACATATGCAGGTACAAGTATCCATGCTGTGATGAAACATCACATCCTCAAAGGTGAGTGTGCATGAATGCAACTGAGCAAAGTGTTCAAATTCCTTGTACAAGAAGAGTCACTCACACATGGTTTTAGGTTAAAAAGTTAAGCTTCTGTACAAATCCCCTAAAATATAGTATATATTATGTATTGAAACAACTCCACTAAGTAGTTCAAAGAGCTAAATAAGTAGTATTTATAGAAAGTAATATTCTAAATGAGAAAGAAAAACAGTATTATAAACCCACTCTCAATGGCAGTACTGTTATTTCAGCTACAACAGTAATTCCCCACTGTAACTCTATTCGTTAATACGTAAGTTTACAAAAGACACACTGCTTCCAAAAACACTGTGAAATACAGCTACATAGCTAAGACCGTAAATATGGAATATAATAAAATCATGAACAAAGGAGGAAAGCAAACACACTAACAACCTGTGATTCTATGTAACTGAAATAAATGTAGCTTTGAGTTTCCTAAAAGTCATAGTAAAAACGGGAAACATCTGGTTAAGCCATTATCATTACATGAAAGTACCCAAGTCCTTCAAAAGAGAAAAAGTTTTCATGATACTTAATCCTGGAATACTGGCTTTTTGTTTTTTTATTTGCAAATACTTATTTGTAAATAAAAAAATAAGATAACGGAAATACCACCCAAAATCGCAGCTCCGTGATTCTAACATGAAACTGTCAAACCTAAAAAACTTTTGGCTGGATCACTTGCACTCTTTAAATCCATGGGGCCCGAAATCCCTTACTGTGAACGGGTACCTAATGAGCAAACACACCGGGTGCCAGACGCTTACACTGCGCATCGTACCCTTCCCTTTACTACAGAGAACAGGAACAGTCGAGCACTGTCATTTTCCTGTTTTGTCAAAACCTCCAATACCTAACAACTTGTTACTTAATTTTTAAGTTCAATATGTTTGTAGCCATCGCCACAGCTACAAAGTGCTCAAAAAGTATTTGCAGAGTTGGCTACAAAGACGCCCCAGGTACCTCCCGGCTCTACCCACGTTCGGCTCAGGGTGGCCCCCAGCGGTCTTAGCAAAGGGTGCAAACAGCACAGGGCGGACAGCACAGCCCCAGTACCTCTCAGGCAGAGGCTGGTCCGAGCCGCTATCTTCCCACTGTCGCGGAAGGAGCGAGCCCAGACGGCTCTAGCGCAAAGCCCCGGGAGGGGTGGGGTCCGGGGCGGAGGGTCGCCCCCAAGTAACGCGCTCACCTCGGGGTCCACTCTGGGTAGGGGCCGCCGGCGGGGGCAGAGGGTCGTCCCCAGGTTGGGTGCTCACCTCCCGGCCGACCCCGCGTAAGGACCAACCTGCAGGTGGTCCCAGGTAAGAGGCTCACCTCTGGCCCCGCCGCCGGTAGAGACGGCGGGTGAGGACGAGGGCAGTTCCCAGGTTAAGGAGCTCGCCTCCAAGCCCTGCCGGGATAGGGACCGCGGGCGAGGACGGAGCACGGCGGCGACTAGTTGGGGCTCCCGGTGGCCCCACCACGTGAGACCGGCCCCCTCGCTCCTTCCGCCAGACGGCGGCAGCGCGGCGGGGCGGGGCGCGCGCACGCCAGGCATCGCCAGCAGAGCGCCGAGGCGCCGCGCCCATTGGTGGAGACGGTTGCGCGTTGGAGGCCCGAGCGGCCCAGCCCGCGGCCCGCTCCGTGTCAGTCAGTCATGGAGCGGCCGCCCAGAGCCGCGGCGGGGGCGGCGGGGCGCGGGGCGCGGGGGCCCGGCTGAGCCGGCCGTGGGAGCGAGACCCTGCCGCAGAGACGACGGAGGCGGAAGCAACCCGATCCCGGAGGCGGCGGCGGCGGGAGGAGCCGGAGCCGCCTGGGATGTTCAGTGAGTGCGGGGGCGCGCGGGAGGGGGCGGGCTGGGGAGGGGGTCGCGGGCGCGGCGCGCGCGCGGCGGCGGGGGGCCGGGCGGGAGGGAGCGCGGGCGGCGCGCGGAGAGGCCTAGGCGGGGCGCGCGCCCGCAGCTCCCGCCGGCGGGGCGGTGGGGGCGGGGCGGGCGGGGCCGGCCGTGCGCGGGCGCGGCAGCCGCGCCTCCGCCCTCGGCCTGCGAGTCCCAGGCGGCCGCGGGCGGCGTGGCCTGCACTCGGAGGCTACACCTGGAGGGGCTCTGCGTCCTTGCTCGGGTGGGTCTGGCCCGGGCGGCTCCGGGGCACGCGCCGGGAAGGGGTCCTTAGCGCTGGGCAGCCGGGCAGGGGCACCGGTCCAGATCTCGTTTTCACGTACGGCGAAAGGAAATGTCTTTTGGCCGAACTCACGATTAAACTTCGCACATGGTGATGGTGGGCGGATGGATGAGAAATCGACCTCTGCCTGTGACAGGGGAGATCTTGAGTGAGAGTAGCGGTTGCTGGAAGACGCCGACCTGCAAGGTTGCCTGCCTTTGCGGGCTTTAAGCCGTGACAGCCGCGGAAGAGTCGGGCGCCCCGGCGGTACTCGCGACCCTCCGAGGCTTCTGAACAGGTATTATTCGGCCAGGCGTCGGTCCGAAGCAAGTTGACGGTGAGAAGAGGGGTGTCATCTTAGACTTAGCGGAAGTGGAGTACAGGAAAGCTTTATGCGGGTCTCCCATCAGTTGCGAAAGTGTTCTTATAATGCGGACCTCGCAGCAGGTCTGACTCGAGGATCCGAAGGTAAGTCTGCCAATCCCAGGCGGCGCTCGCCTGAAATCGACTAAACTCTGACCTTGCACATTGAAATCTTGCAATTGTAACTCCCGCTAACGATGTGTTGGGAGGAAGCGTAAAGGCGGAGTTTGTCTTCTGTTAGGTGATCCAAGTGTGCCCCGTACCTGAGTTGTGGGGTAGGGGCGCACGCCGCCGAGTTCCCCCGCCCAGGTGACAGTCCTGCTTGAAAAGGGGAGGGGGAGGGGAGTTTGTGCCCCAGCTTAGTGTAGTGGATGGGGGCTTGGGAACTCCAGAGCCGAGGTTGAAACTTATAACTATTTGTAACCTCCGTGAAGCCCTAGTTTCCTCTTCTGTAAAAGGGAATTGATAACTGATAACCTGGGTGGCGCTTTTAACGGGTAGCAAAGGAAGAAATAGGAATAATGTATGTGTAGATGCCTGACATATAGGGAACAATCTGCAAATATTAAGTATTAGCTATTATAATTTCGTTTTAGTCAAAATGCTTTCAGGTTTCCTTGTAGGCCTAGATTTTTTGTGTAACGTGACACAAAGTAACTTTGATTTTCTTTATGAATTACAAATTCTTCCTGCTTTGAAGATCAGTGTTAAACTAGAAAACCAAAAGATGAGCTTGTCTTGGGCATTCTTCTTTGTGATCAACAGTAAATCAGACCAGTGTGTTTCGGAGTAGTTTTGTTGCGCCTGCCTCTAAATATGAGGGTTACATGTGCTTCTTTCACTCGGAAACTAGGTAAAGGTCTTACTTCTCAGTAACTGTTTTTATATCGGGGGAGGGAGGGGGTTGGTTTTTATTCTTGCAAACCCGTAGAGAACATCTCTGGAGAAAAGGAAGGGGTTTTGTTGTTCACGATTCACTGGCACTGGGCCGGAGCCCTGGGGACCCTGTGTGAAACCAGCATCACGCGGTGGGCAGTGCTAGAAGTCAAGTTTCCAGCCTCTCTCCGTGTGACAGCCAGCCTCTCAGGTAGTGCCTGTCCTCATCACTCTCTTCGCAAGCACCCAGTAAGCCTTCACTATCCTCCCCCCCCCCCAAAAAAAGCCCCTGATCTAATGTAGAACGCTTTGAACAGCAGAACACGAAGAGGTGAGTAAGAGCTCAGATCCTGCTGCCTGGTGGCCCGAGTTCCCATTTGGGCACTGTGGAACCTTGGGCGCATTGTCCGACTTCTCTGGGACTCGCCTTTCCCATCTGAAGAATGGCACCCACCTAGCCCACGGGGATGTTATGAGGTGTAAAGGAGAAGCACTTGAAATGGTTTCTTACCGGTGGCGTGCTACCAGTGCTCCGGGACAAACCCCGGAAGTGTTAGGCATTGGTGGTGGTGATGTAGGGAACAGAATAATAGTGTGATGAGTGCCGTGCGTGATAGAGGTTTGTCCCTGGGTTCGGCGGGTGGAGGGGACCATACTCAAAGAAGCTTTTGGGATGGCTGAGCTGAGCTGAGCTGTGAAGCATGAGAAGCGCTTAGCTGAACCAGGTTGGGGCCGGCGTGGGGCTGCCCTCAGGGAATGGAGGAGCCTGACCAAAGTCCCTGAAGGTACAAGGCCGGGCAGTACCCACCAGCGAGGCTAACAAAGGTGGGCCAGAGTAACCTTGAACAATGGAGGTTGACTTGTTCGTTTGCATTCTCCACAGTGGTGGGAGCAGTAGAAAGCTTTTAAGACGAGCACAGAGGACACTAGATTAGCTACCTGGAAAAATAGTGCCTGCAGTTGTGTGACGTTGGGTTGAAAGTAGAGAAGGCCCATCCACATGTCCTGGCAGCTTTGTGTCTGCCTGTGACCCCAAAGGAAGATGACTGCTTAGCAGGGACAGACATTTTAATCCACGTGGAAGCTTAGAGAGCACTCACAGAAGGAAGGCATGAGAAACCCTGGGTCGTTCCAAGCAGCCTTCCCTCTTAAAAACCATCTTCACGCATCTGCTGTATGTGCCCAAGTGTGAGACAGTTATCCCCTATGCCACCGAATGTCCCGGTCTCTCCGGTTACAGGGCACTCTCTCGGTTATCCTATTTCCAATAACAAGGCGCTGGTTGGAAAACACATATTGTGCTAAGGCACCCTCAGCTGACGCCAGTGTGGGATACTTAAGCAGTCAATTGATACAGTTAGTGATGAATGAGAAAAGTTATGCCCGCTTGGATGGGTACTGATGGTTTGGGGTGAGATTTCCACTGAGCATCTCCGTGGATCCAACAAATGCTCTGTCATAGCTGATAGAGTAGATGCAGAGGTGGTGTGCTCTGGAAAATGGGATTTGATGATTCAGAGTGGCTCAGGTGACCTCAGAGACACTGGTGTTGAAGGTGTCATTCAAAATTGTTTCATGAATTAATACACAAATTGCTTTATATAATATACATTTTAAATACATATATGTAAATTAATAAAGATTCTAAGCAGACATTTGGCTGTTTTATCTACAATCCTAAAGTTGTTTTTAAGTTAAAATTGTTTTAAATCTCATTGTAAAAGTAAAATCGTCTTAGGTTTGAGCTTACCTTTTCATTGGGCACTTTACAGAAATTAGCGGCTGCTGCCTGCTGAGGCAAATTTTTTTTCCCATCTCATTTTTTTAACTTCAAGGAAGTGTAAAGAATGTGTACTGGAAAGATTCCGAAAACACTACAGAGAACTTCCATTCATAGTTCTTTGTTCAGTAGTCTGATAAGTATCCTTCTGGAAAGATGTATTGGAAAGTATCTGATTCTTAGTAACCGTTACTACAGTGTTTGTTAACAATAAAAGGTAGCTCTTTTGGTTTTCTTTCTACCAACGAAGTATTGGCATTTAGAGACTTGGTAATTTAATAATCAGAAGCATTTTTGCAAAACTTGGTGAGTTGACATTTGCAAGCTAAGGTGCTGATGCATTGTTTCACAAAGTAATACCATGCTCCAAAACTCTGTTGTTAATTATAGTAACCATTGGCTACATGCAGTTACTTAAATTTAATTTAATTTAAATTAAAAATTCAGTTCCTTGGTTGCAATAGAACTTTGTGGCTGTTGGCTACATCCTGAACAGTGTGGATCTTAAACAGTTTTATTGTCACAGAAAGGCACATTGGACAGTACTCCTCTATGAGAAACTGAGCATAATTTCTCTTCCTGTCTCTCTCCCCCGTCCCCACTCTCCCCCCAGATACACACGGACTTTAATGTTATTTAAGCATCTCTGAATCTTGCTGCATTTGAATTCAGTTTCAGGGAGAATGATAAACATAGAAAGACACATTCTCCCTTACCCTCTGAAAGTAAAACATCCTGTTTTTTCTGTCTGCAGTGTTGTTTGCAAATAGAGCAGACATGAAAGTTTTCTTTATGAAGTCGAAACTCAGTAAATATAGACGTTTGTTTTGTAGATAGATTGCCCTGTACTCTTTCATGTTGATGAGGTTTTGTATAGAAATAATTTCCTGTGCCGTGAAACAGTGTTGAAGCAAGAATCAAATATGTGTGGCTTTTTGGTTCATAAAAACCTAGAGAAATTATGAATTTAAAGTAAATTATCAGCTCCAAACAGAGGCTAGAAAACACGGGCTTTATTTTCGAGGTGCATTTCACCAATAAGAAAAGCCCTGTGCCCTGGAACTTCCCATCTGTCTGGGGAACGACGGAACGGGGACGGGGACGGCAGGAGTGGCCGGCCTGCACTGTGGGCGGAGGGCAGATTGTAAACTCGGGACTAACACGGTCAGGTCTGCCTTTTCCTCGGCGCCATCCTGAAAGTGGGTTTGAGGTAGGGCTAGAGGTGGGGAGGCAGTGGCGTGTAGCCCAGTTGAGAAGTGACTCGGGCTGTCAGACACAGCGGTGGCTCCAGTGGAGAATCGTGTGTGGCAGAGAAGGTGGCGGTGGCCTCTGAGAAGGGACAGGGAGAGAGAGAGTCTTAAGGTGATGACTTTTTTTGCTTTCGTGGTAGATGATGGCAGCACAGGACAGCTACGGGGAGGGAGAGATTTTAGAGCAGCGTAAACGTGCACCTTGAACTTCAGACGTTTGCCACATCCAGGTAGGAGTGTCTTTTAGATTTGAGCTCAGGCGGGTGATCTGACCGGAGGCAGTGTACGTCCCGACGTCCTGGGTGAGGAGCGCAGTGAGGGAGGGAATGTGAAGAATGAGAATCAGACCAAGGGTGGGAGAGGGAGCGGCTGAAGGAGTTTCCGGGAAGGAGGCCTGTGGAACAGCGCGGAAAGGCGATTGTTAGATTCGGCGAGAGTCGAGGAATCTCAATTCTGGTAAATGGCCCCTGAGTTCCGAAAGAGGGTCGGTGGCTGGGTGAGGGGACTGGTGCGGGTGTGGAACGGCTGGGCTGGGGAGCCGCACGGGAAGAAAGTAGTTGGCAGGAAGTCTTTGCCTCTGGGGTGTCACAGAGGTGGCAGCTGCTGTTGGGGGAAATCAGCTTCTGGTGGCATCTGTCTGCCTGGGTGTACTTCTGCTTCCCCTACGCTCCCCCGTCCCCCAAAAACCCTTCAGGCTCTGCATTGCACCCTGAGCCCCCAACCTGGAGCCTTATCCACGTGCCATTTATGTCTTAGGACAGATGTATTCATGGCATTCTGTGTCTGAGCGGAGACTGGCTATAAAAAGCCATCATAATTTTAAAATTATATGAGGTATGACCGAAACTGAGAACAGTATGGCTCATTTAATTTTCTTCTGTGATTTATATTTTCACAAAGCTAATTGAATACACTTTATCATGAAGATTAATGCAAAAGCTTAGATTTTTTCGGTCCTGCTTACAATGACCTTTTGATAGCTGGTTCAGCCATTTAGACGGCTACAGGTAAAAAGGAGACAGCTGGCAT